AAAAAAAAATTTCGGACTTTATTTTATCTTCATGGTGAAAACAGACATTAAACTTAATAAAAAAAATACGATTTTTGTAAAAAAATTCTTTTTTATATTTTTAACTTTATAATGCTATAACTTTTTGAAAGATGTATGGATCAATATAATTCTTTTTTTTATAGATGCATGATGTCTTTACCTATCATTTGGTATATTTTTTTTATAAATCTGACTTTTTACCTCCCTACAGGGGGGGATTCAAAATGACAACTTTTTCACAAAAAATTGACTTTTTCAACGTAACTTTTGAAAATGTTCCGGAAGGTCTGACACTTTTATATATATCTTAAATTAAAGCTAATGTAATGTTCTTTATTATGTAAAAAAAAAATTTCGGACTTTATTTTGTCTTCATGGTGAAAATGGCTACCGAATGCTATTATTGTGTGAAAATTCTCGATTTTATTTTTTACATTTTTAACTTTTTAATGCTATAACATATTGAAAAGTTTATGGATCAATATAATTTTTTTATGAGAAATAATATTTTTTAATAATCCCTTTTTCATTCGACATACTTTATCTTAATTAGGATATTAATAATGAACTATCAGATCAAGTAGCTTTTGAAATAATCCATCAATTTTTTAAAATTAAACACTATCTAAAGATTTGCATCGAAGCGTTTTTTTTTGATAGTGATTTTAATCACTGTGAGATATCATTATACTTGATCCAACAATGCCACGTCACAACTGTGCTGCGACCCCCCTGTGCTGGGTTTTTTGTGTTACTTTAACACATGTAGAATTAGTCATTATTTAAATATTAAAAATGGACGAAATTTCAAATAAGCTTATTTCAGATAATTTAATTATAAAATCAGAATTTATTGAACTATCAACTTATTAAGTAGTGTTCAGCTTAAGGGTACGTTTCCTTGGATACTCCTTTAAAAGTTTTGAACACGCGATTATTTCGTGTAGGAATTTTGGTTGTAATTCTTTACTCGACCCGATTTTACACACACAGTTTTTGTATTCCTTTTATAAGACGTATGAATAATTTTTCCATTGACATGCCCAGGAAGTCATTAAAACTATCAATTGTATTGCATATTATAGAAGTGAGTATGTTTATTGTTAGAACACTTATGCTAATTTTTTAATTATACAATAGAAATTGATATTCTTTAAATATTTTCATAAACACATAATAATAATGATTTTTATTAAAAGGTCAATTGTCCCGGAGTATGGATTTGTTCGAAAGGCATGATTTATCTAGATATGTGTATTTTTGGACAAAATTACAAAACTTCTTTGGTTAATCCAAAATTTCCTATGCATATCAATGAAACATTCAGTTTACATAATGTAAATTTTTAAGAAATATTAAGTTACCAATTGAGTACGTTAACATTATTTACTTAATATATGAGAAATATAATTTCTTCAAAACAATGATAATACTATATTTGTAAAAGAAAATTGAATTACACGCACTCAATTGTTATTATTTAAGTATTAAAAATTATATTAAAACACGGTTTATATTTTATTATACGGTTTAATAAAATATAGGATTTAATAGAAATATTTAATTTGTATGAAGTTCAAAGATATTTAGAAGAACATTTTATGCTAATAACTTTAATTCAAGTTTACGAAGAAAAATTAATTACTTTAGCAACGTTTAAGGCTCGTGTTGACCAAGTCTTGTATCCTACATCAAACCTCAGTATTGATGGGAAAACGTCACTTTTAATGAATAATGAACCTATATTTCCGGTTAGTTTATGTGTTAAATTAAAAATTTGTAGGTAGCTGTAAGTAGTAATAAAACTTAATAAATTGATTCCAATGTGAATTTTAAATAGTTAACAAGATTTAACATCAATCAGCATAAATACGCGATAATTTTAATTAAATAATCTAATTATTCTATAATAATATACCTAATTCAAATATTAATTTAAATGATATTTCTATTTAAATTTAATTAAAGAGTAAAACTATTATAAAAATATAATTAATCCTACGAATTCGGAAGAATAAATTAAAATTTTGGTTATTATTTGTGTGTAGTTAAATTAAGCAGGGTACTATTCTAAAATAAATTAAATATTTAAATTTGGCATAATAAAAGAAAGCTATTTATGAATATCCAATAATCCATGATAATAGCATGATATAGTAATGTAAACAAAAATCCAGCACAGGGGGGTCGCGGCATAGTTGGATCAAGTATAATGATATCTGACAGTGATTAAAATCACTACACCCAGAGAAAAACCTCGATCTATATAATAAATTCATTGTTCAATTTGATAAATATATCATTACTATTGAATCAATGATATATTTATCAATATGATATTTTTTTTTCTTGTCTTGAACAATAATTATTTATAAGAATAGTTATTTTGTTCGTATTAATAAAACATTATCATAAACCCTTGATAAAATTTCTCTTTCAATTTTGATTGAGGTTTTTCTTTGGGTGTATTATAAAAAACGCTTCGATGCAAATCTTTAGATAATCTTTAATTTAAAAAAATAGTAGATTATTCCAAAAGCAACATGATTACCCATTTCCTTATTTATATCCTGATTAAGATAAAATATGTTGAATGAAAAAATTGTGTTGTTCCATACACTTTTCAATAAGTTATAGCATTGTAAAGTTAAAAATGTAAAAAAAATCGAGAATTTTCATACAAAAATAGCATTTGGTAGCTATTTTTTTTATATATTGACCAAATCAATATAATTTTTTTTTTTATGGATGCATGATGTATCTTTTGGTATATATTTATTTATAAATTTGACCCTTTACTTGCACATAGAGGGTATTTAAATTGACAACTCTTTTACAAAAAATTAACTTTTTCAACTTAACTTTTGAAAATGTTCCAGAAACTCTTACACTTATATATATATATCTTAAATTAAAGTTAATGTAATATACTTTATCATGGGATAAAAAAATTTCGGACTTAATTTTGTTTCATGATGAAAATGGATACCGAATGTTATTTTTTTGTGAAAATGTTCGATTTCATATTTAACATTTTTAACTTTATAATGCTGTAACTTATTGAAAAGTTTATGGATCAATACAATTTTTTTATGAGAAATAATATTTATATCCATAGGGAGGATTCAAAATGACAATTTTTCACAAAAAAATTACTTTTTCAACTGAACTTTTGAAAGTGTTCCGGAAAGTCTGACACTTTTATATATATGTTAAATTAAAGCTAATGTAATATACTTTATCATGAAAAAAAAATTTTTGGACTTTATTTTGTTTTTACGGTGAAAATAAATGTCCACCAAATGTTATTTTTGTGTGAAAATTTTCGATTTTATATATTACATTTTTTAATTTTATATGCAATAAATTATTGAAAAGAGTATGAATCATTACAATTTTTTTATGAGAAATAATATTTATATCCCTCTTTCATTCGACTTACTTTATTTTTATCGGGATATAAATAATCAGGAAATTTCATTTCTTTGTTTTCTAAAAATTATTATTTTTTATTTGGACCTCTTTTTACTATCTCCCTATTTATTAAATTAGTTGTCATTACAGATTCTAACCCGTATTATACGGGTTTCGTATAATAAAAGTTATATACAGTAATTATTAATAATAAGGCTTTAATAGATACATAATACACTACTAAACCATTGCCACAATGTGATAACTACAATATTAATATAAAGTGTTCATTGTTTCATTTATTCCATAAAATTAGTTAATCAATTGTTAAAAATAGATTTTTTCAAATATTTTTATTATTTAGGTATTATTATTATTTTATCAATTAAAAACAGTAAAACAGTTAGACAGTGGTTCACAACATCTTTTTAAAATACAAATTATAAAAAAAAATTTAAATAAAATTAGGGTTTTGTCTTGAGGGGGATAGATATAAATAAATTTCGATCTAAAATCGCGCGTTGGTTTAAATGGAACCTCATTTTTTTTAGTGTTTGGATTATTAGGCTATTTTAACAATAATGAAATCAGGTCAGATAAATTTCGAGCTACTAGTAAATTTTTACGGATTGGATCAAGCTAAAGTGATTAGTCTCCCTAAAGGTCTTTTTCTTATAGACTCTTCCTTTATTACCTGTCTAATTAGAGATCCTTGCTTACGCCAGTCATGGCTCCCTCACATGAGTCTTCTTTTTGTGATCTCTTTAACTATATCTGGTTTCTGAAACTGCATTTCGAGTTCATGATTATGCAATTTTCTCCATTCATTTTTTAGGTTATCAAAGACTAGTCCATATATTTTTCTTAATACTTTCCTCTCAAATACCCCTAGTCTCAGTTCTTCGGCTTTTCTCAGTGCCCACGTCTCAGCACCATACAGGACAATAGGTCGTAATAATGTCACATACATTCTTATTTTTTAATTTTTAGAGAGGATCCTAGCTTTTAGTATTTTTTCTAATCCATAGTATCCCTTACTAGCTATTTGTATTCTTGACGACACCTCAGTCTTAAGTTCATTATCTTGAGTAATAATCGATCCCAGATATTTAAATTGTGATACTTTTCTAAATGTATGTCCTTATAACTCAATATGTTGTTCTAGTTCATTATTTCTGTTACTTCGGCTGACAATTAAGTATTCCTTCTTATCATCGTTAACGATTAATTCTACTTTCTCCGCTGCCTTTATAAGTTTTTTTCCCATACTTTTTATCGTCCCAAAATCATCCCCTAAGAGAGCGATATCGTCCACGTATGCTAAGATACCTATTGTTATCTATCCCAGCACAATTCCTTCTGAAACGTTAATTTCTCGTACTATTTTTTCCAGTACCTGGTTAACCAACACTCTGGACAGTGCATCCCCTTGCCAGAGACCTGTTGTCACCCTTACAGGCTGCGATGTTGTGTTAGCTATTTTAACCTTTATATCTGTCTGGTTGATTCTGGCTCCAATAAGGTTTACAATTTTACTTGGGAATCTAAATTCTTTGAGAATATTTATTAGGCTTTCTCTATGGATAGAGTCGTAAGCTTTTTTAAAATCTACAAACAATATGTGTACATCCTTATTATATTCCCACCTTTTTTGGAGGATCTGTCTTATTACGAAAATCTGATCCGTTGTAGATCTATTGGGCCTAAATCCTCCCTGTTAGTCCCCTACTAATGTCTTTGCTATGGGCCTTACTCTATCCAGTATACAATATGCTAGGACTTTATACGTTGTATCTAGTAGTGCTATACCCCTATAATTACTACATACTTGAGGATAATTTTTTTTTGGATAGGACAAACTAATGCGGTGCCCTATTCCTTTGGAAGTCTTTCTTCATGCCAAATACGCTCTATAATACTACGTATCCTATTTATTATTCCTTCATGCAGGTTTTTTAGTACTTTTCCTTGGATTCCGTCCTCTCCAGGAGTTTTATGGTTTTTTAGCCTGTTAAGTTGTTGTAATATTTCCTCTTTGCATGGGGGTAGACAGTCAGTGTCATTAGGTTCTGTTGGTGTCCATGAAAATGTCTCAACTGGGTTTTCACAATTAAGTAATAATCCAAAATACTGTCTCCATTTTTCCAATACCTTATCTTGTTCTGTCACTAGGGAACCATCGTCATTTTTAAGGAACTTCTCATGTTTTTTGTACCCTCCTCTAATTGAATTTATCTTCTGGTAAAATTGTCTAGTTCTATTTACTCTATGATCAGACTCAGCTTCCTCTAATACTTCTTTTATATATTTCCGTTTTTCATATCTAAATATATTATTTGCTTCTTTTTTGGCAATCTTTGTATGCCATCATTTTCTCTCTATTAATAGGGTTGTTGAGTAACTGAGTTCTGGCTTTTTTCCTTCTATTAAATGCTTCATTGCAGGAGTTGTTGAATCACGTTTTTCTTGTTCTCTTTTGTTTGTCTATTACTGTGTCTGTGACCGTTTTTATTGCACCATTAACCACTTTCTATTTAGTATCAATTGTCTCTTCTTGATTTATAATTAAACTGTTCATTATTTCATGTAATTGTTCCTTGAAGCTCCCACATATGTTGGTATTCCTTAACTTATTCACGTTATATCTGTCCACTAATGTTCCTTTTCTAAAACACAGTTTCTTGAGTTTTACCTTCAGCTTTCCTTTAACTATGTAGTGGTCTGAGTCACAGTCAGCTTCTCTGACTGTTTTAAATCTTGTACACAATTTCTAAACATAGTATTAATCAGGACATGGTCTATCTGAATGACGACATATCTTCCATTCAATGCCTTCCATGTCCCCTTATATATGTCTTTATGTGGGGACATTGTGCTCTTCACAATAAGTCCTCTACCACCTGCAAAGTCTATAAGTCTGAGTCCATTCTTACTAGCTACATCGTGAAGGCTATGGTTGCCAATCGTTGACCTAAATATGTTCTCTTTCCCTAACTTGGCATTAAAGTCTCCTAGGACTATACTAATTCTACTTCGTGGGATTTCATTTAGCGTGTGTTCCAAGTTATCATAGAATTCGTCCTTCTCCTCTTGTGTTTTTTCTTCCATGGGAATATCAATTTAATACTAAATTTAATTACTATAATTATTTTTTATTCATTAATTTTAATAATAAATCAAATAATTAATTAGGATATAAATAAGGAAATGGGAGATCATGTTGCTTTTGGAATAATCCATCAATTTTTAAAATTAAACACTATCTAAAGATTTGCATCGGAGCGTTTTTTATGATGGTGATTTTAACCATCAGATATCATTATACTTGACCCAACTATGCCACGACCCTCCTGTGCTGGGGTTTTTTTTTTAAATTTAATAATAACATCATGTTATTTTAGGGAATAATTGCGCCAAAAGTTGTGGTTGTAACCAAAACAGACATTTACGAAGAATTAAATTCCTTAAGGCACGATAATTTTAATTCACCTGAAATTCAGCACTGTTTCAAAAGAAGAAATAAAGTACACCATGCTAAACTGCAAGATTGTGTTTTGAAAAAACACGAGTATGAACGTTCTTTATTGTAGTCCGGCTCGTATTTAAAAGTTTGATGTCCCTATATTATCATTATTTAGAAATTTGGTTGTAGCTCGTCAATAAAATAATAATGAAAATTTAAGAGAAATATCCAATACTTGTTTTACATTTTCTTTTTGCTATAAATGTGTATATCAAATTGTATATCTAATAAAATCAAACATTGTTCTTATTTAATAATATTCTAATTATGGTAAAGTAATGTTTTAGAGAAAAAAATATGATAATTTATATATAAAAAGTTGTATTATTTTTTTATACATTAACGGGTTGAATAAAAAAGTAAAAAAACAAAGATAAGTTTTATTTTATTAGGTACTACACTATTAATTTTTTAGTTTCCCCAAAATCGGGAATTTTGTATTTAACGGGTTTCTTAAATAATTGATTTATTTATGTTCAAATACACATTTGAAGCTTACTTTATATTTAATGCAATAATTGTGTTAAATGAAACATTTTAAAACCATTATTTTTAGATTATTTGTACATGAACGCAAAATAAAAAACTTCGAACCGATTAATCAATATTTATTAAAGAATAGAAAGGTAAGTAAATTTAATTCTAAAGCAGTTGTCAATGTTTACATTCAATTGTATAATTTTAACGTGAAAAAAATTATATTTTAGGACCATTCAATGATACAAAACACTAGCTGTTTCTGTAAATTTTCTCATGTTTGTAAGTAACCAAGTTTATTTTTCTGTATTTAGTTATCTCGTATCTGTAACGTTCCAAGATATGTTAAATAAGTTTTCTCTGAAATGTGTAATAATATTTGAATCACTTTTTTTAACAAGTTTTCTTCGGGTAATTTTAATCTAAAATTATACGATCCAAAAAAATTTATTGACTTAATCTTTAAGGAGACGTTTTTTAGATGCTGTGATATATAGAAAGACTCCATACAGCCCTCTCTTTTAAAATTTTTGAAACCAAAAATGTCATATGATAAGATCTTGTTAAAAAAAAAAATTGTTCAAAGATTTTCAAGAATATTTTTATTATATAATATTCTTGATTTTTTAAAACAATCGACTACTTAATGGGTCTATCTACTTAACTTAAGAGTCTCAGGGACCCAAGGCAGCTACTAAAAAGGGCCCCTTTTAAAAAAATATAATAAAAAAAAGAAACTGCTTTTAGTTTTTATATAGTCAAATATCAACATACTTGAATAAGAAATTATTATACATACAACATTATCATAATATTATAAAATAAGTATATGTATATGTGTAACATAATATAAAAGAACAGATTTACAAAAAAAAAAAAATAAACAATGTTTTCGATATAACTTTTAACGATACTCTTTACATACATAACTTCTAAATAACAAAATTAAATTTTTACACGGCGAACTTTTTTTTCTACAAAAGAATGTATGATTTCACTGTAGTCCACTGCTTGCATTATTTCTGACTCAATGTATAACACAGAAAATGAATTAAGTCTATTATCTTCTATATTGGCTCTCAAATAATTTTTAATTCTCTTAAGAGCTGAAAATGACCGTTTTGCTGTGCAGTTTGACACTGGTGTACTCAACAGCATCCTAAGTGATAATCCAATATTTGAATAAATGTCTATAAAGACGTTTTCTAAGATAAATTTGTATAGTTCCAGTGGTGACATATTTCTTTCTCTTGTAGCTTCTGTGGACAACAAATGAGCTTGTAAATGTATACACTCGTTCTTCATATTCTCGTCCAAATCCCTTGGATAAAAGCTGTACAGAGTGATGGGATTCAGGCTTTAATTTTATAATAATAAATAAATAAATAAATAACCCGTCAGTTAAATATTACTTAACGTATATTTTTCGTTATACGACAATATCAATTACAAGTAAAAGCAAACTTTGTTTTTTGTGATCGTGACTATGTCGGTCAAAACGAGAAGAGAAAGATATAGATAGTTGCGGCCGGGCTGCACCGGTTCGCGCCGCCCGTCGGCCACTCCATATGGCGCGACCTGTCGGACGTAAAGGGGAAGCGCCGCGATCGCCATCCAGCGGTAAAGCTGGAGTCGCGATGCGACCGCGACAAGAGTATATGCTCCGTCGCAGACTTCTTAAGTATTCAAACTAATTAGCTTTGTAAAAAAGTCAAAATTTTTACTTAATTTTTCATAAGCTCTCCCACATCTCAGGAGTTCTGCAATCAACTTGTCAATAATTACGTTGTAGGTGGTTGAGTTTGATATCATTTCTATTCACTTCATCAAACTGGACTTTTCGTTTAGGTTTTCTTTTTAAATCATATGCATAGTTTTGTTCGCCATTTAATCCTATAGCTCTTGATTCATATAGATCGAGACATATAGAACCTTATATACCTACATATACCTTCAAGGTATATAACTAAAGAGTGATAAAGTTCAACAACAGTGCTTAATTCAATGTTTACAGGTTGTTTACTTTATTAAATCTTTCTAGAACATCATTCCACAGTAAAGTCAGAAAATACATTTCTAGTAAGCCAAAGTGATTAAGAAGACCCGCAGCTTCAAAGCGCGTCGATGGTTTTTCACTCATGTCACAGGTGATGATTTTAAGAACTGCCATTATTTCACTCCAGGAGACACAATGACTTATACAAGCATCATTTCGAGCAGACCACCTAGTTTGGGAAAGACTTTTTAGAACTTTTGAATTCTGCTTTAGTTTTGATACTAAAATTCCCCACCTGTGTGTCGAGATCGAAAAAAATTGTACAATGCCTGCAAGTTACTGAAGAAAGATATAGCTGCCTCACAACATTCAACAGCACACGATCCTACTAGATTTAGTGAGTGAGCTGAACAAGGGACAAAAAATGTCAAAGCATTCACTTCTTTTATTCTCGCCTGAAGACCAGAATATGCACCCGCCATGTTTCTTGCATCATCATACGATTGTCCGCGACAATCAGCGATATCAAGTCATAATTTTTCAATATATCGAGAACGATGTGGACATGTCTTCAGCTTTATGGCCACAATTTGGTATGAATCTTATGAATCGTTCAACGGGACATCCTTTTTTAGATACATATCGCACTATGAATGATAGTTGATCTACGTGGAAGATATCAGGAGTCGTGTCTACAGAAATAGAAAAATATTTGGCTTGTTTTATCTCCGTCACAATCGTACTAACGACCTTTTCAGCCATGATGTCAATAATTTCATCACATATCTTAGACGAAAGGTATGATGTTGTGCCGCATCCTTTGTTTGGATGGAAACATGATGCTTGATGCGTTTAGAAAAGGATCAAACTCAGCTAAAAGTTCTAGAGACATAATATAATTCCCAATATTTCTCAATCCAAATTTTTCTTGCGAACCTCTAAATGGCACCCACGTACAGCCAGTCATCTTACAATGCCCACAACACGTTTCAAAATCTCATGCCAGTATTTAATTTCTTCTTCCATTTGAATGAAAAGTCCCTTGTTAACCCTACTACTAACGTTCTTTCTGGCCAACGTTGTTGCACATGCAGATCTGTGGTCGTCTCAGTTTTCATGTTCTTTCATTCTCTGACCTGCATTTTACCAATCGTTATACCCTTTGTCATTAACCAAAATCCCTGATTTTTTAAACATTTTACAAGGGAAACAGAATACAGTCCCTTTAGACTTTGAAAATATTAACCAAGGCCGAGCTTGTATTTCGCCATTAGGTAATGTCCGACTGAAAAGTGATAGGGATAGATACCTGGTAGAATCTGCATACTGACGTTTTGAAGAAGAAAATTCAATGTCCATTTTCTGTTTAACACCATTTTGAACGAGGTATTCAATTGTAGCATCATCCAGTACCCACTTAGTAAGGTCATCACTAATAGATTTCTCATTTATAGTTGTAATGTTTCGGATATTAAATTTTGAGGTATCTCTTCGCTTTCAGATACTTTTTCTGGTTGTTGATCTTCACTACAGTCATTGGATACAACTTCATTTAAAGTATTAGGTCTAGAAGAGGCAAAAACGAATGCAATTTAGGAACTTTACGAAGAAGCTCTTCTTCTTTCTGCAATTTTTCAAAATTCTTTTTTCTTTTTTGGAATCCACTAAACGGTTTGTTGGTGTTAGACATTTTCAAAACGTCTACCTTAAAATAATTCACCAAAAAGACATTTATAAGTATTTCATATTTTGTTGATTACCAATTTAATTACAATTTTAATATGTTCCTTGCGTATCAATTTTGTGCTAGTCAAAATTACATAAAATAATTATAATTGAAAATTTGAAATACGAATCTCACACACATATACCTATTGTAATTCAGTAATATACACTTAATAATGCAGACGAAAAAAAAATAAAAAAATTACGCTAGTCGAATTTGATTTTATTCAGTTAATGTTTATTCTAGTATAAAAATACATTTTAAAGATTTGAAACCCCCTGTATTAAGGGAATTGATCCGATTTAAAAAAAAAGTATGTCAAATAAAAGAAATATATAAATATTATTTCTTATAAAAAATTTTTATTAATCCATACATTTTTCAAAAAGTTATAACATTTTAAAGTTAAAAATGTAAAATATAAAATCGAGAATTTTAACACAAAAAAAAACCCAGCACAGGGGGGTCGCGGCACAGTGGTGACGTGGCATAGTTGGATCAAGTATAATGATATCTGACAGTGATTAAAATCACTATCAAAAATAAACGCTTCGATGCAAATCTTTAGATAGTGTTTAATTTTAAAAAAATTGGTGTTTTATTCCAAAAGCTACTTGATCTGCTGGTTCCTTATTAATATCTCGATTAAGATAAAGTATGTCGAATGAAAAAGGGTTTATTAAAAAATATTATTTCTCATAAAAAAATTGTGTGGATCCATAAACTTTTCAATAAGTTATAGCATTATAAAGTTAAATNNNNTTTTTTAAAAAGTTATAGCACTTTAAAGTAAAAAATGTAAATTATAAAATCGAAAATTTTCACACAAAAATAGCATTCGGTAGCCGTTTTCACCATGAAGACAAGTCCAGAGGTCAATTTTTTTTTTTCAAATTAAAGTACATTACATTAGCTTTAATGTAAGATATATATAAAAGTGTCCAGACCTTCCGGAACATTTCAAAAGTTAAGTTGAAAAAGTTAATTTTTTGTGAAAAAGTTGTCATTTTAAATCCCCCCCTGTGGGCAGAAAAAAGGTCAAATTTACAAAAAAAATATACCAAATAATAGGTAAAGACATCAAGCATCTATAAAAAAAAAATTATATTCATATGTTCATTTTTGAAAAAGTTATGGCAGTTTTTAGTAAAAAAAATTGAAAAAATTTCGAAAATTAGCGATTTTTAAATTTGTAATTTTTTTGGAGGTTTCCCCCATTTACGGGGAACGAGGGAAATTTTTTCAATTTTGAAGGGTAATGTCTTCGACTAGATACAATTTGTGATCTTTTGACGTATCGTTGAAAGAAATCCGTTCGGTGAGAGCTGAGAAAAAGTGGTAACAGACAAAAAAAAAAAAAAAAACACATCATAGTAAAACCAATACCTTCTCAGCTTCGCATCGAAGCTAATAGCATACGGTAGCCATTTTCATCGTGATGATAAAATAAAGTCCGAAATTTTTTTTTTTCATGATAAAGTATATTACATTAGCTTTAATTGAATATATATATAAAAGTGTTAGTATTTCCGGCACATTTTCAAAAGTTAATTTTTTGTAAAAAAGTTGTCATTTTAAATCCCCCCTCGTGGGCAAGTAAAGGGTCAGATTTATAAAAAAAATATACCAAATGAAAGGTAATGATATCATGCATCTATAAAAATAAAATTTATATTCATATGTTCATTTTTAAAAAAGTTATAGCAATTTTAAGTAAAAAAAAATTGAAAAAAAAATGGAAAATTAGCGATTTTTAAATTTGTAATTTTTTTGGAGATTTCCCCCATTTACTGGAAACAAAGGAAATTTTTAAAATTTTTGAAGGTAATGTCTTCGACTAGATACGATTTGTAATCTTTTGACGTATCGTTGAAAGAAATCGGTTCGGTGAGAGCTGAGAAAAAGTGGTAACAGACACAAAAAAAAAACACATCATAGTAAAATTAATACCTTCTCAGCTTCGCATCGAAGCTAAAAATTACATAGATATGGTATTATTAATTGTTTTCAATTGTATCAAAATATTTTAAATTTGAGCTACATGAAACAATTTTTCAAAGAATTAATTATTGTTAAAATCCGCATATTGATACTTTTTTTATAATTTATCCAGTTCATCTTAGCCTACGTTCATTTAAAATTAAAGAAATATATTAAATTGGAAATAATATCCTACAGCTTAATTTAACAGATATAATTGTTAAAATTTAAATTTTACCATAGGTAGTACATTTTCTCAGTATAATATAAAAATTTAAACTTTAATTTTGTTTAAATCAAAATAATCACCTTCGACTTAGATAGGTTAAACTACTGTACAAACTATAAAATATATCATGTAATTTTTAAAGCTAAAATATTTTTGAAGGTATAAAGTATGAAAATAAACTATAATTAATTAGTAAAATTAACAACTGCAAAATTATACTCACGCAATTTGTCAGGAGACGCCAAAACGACCAGAGTGCAAAAGAAAATGAAATGGTCATAATCGTAAGCCTATAAACGTATAATAAAAACCTATGAAATATTTTATTTATACCATCAACTATTACGTTCATTATATTTTGCGTATACATAAAAAACAATATAGTGTAACATCATTTGTACGCGTTGATTCATTGTGTGAAGTTTTTTTTTTTTGGTACTTGGCCGAGGGCCCCAAAAAAGTAAGAGCCCCTAGGCAACTACCTAGTTTTCCTAGGCGGAAGTCCGGCCCTGGGCCTATCACACAAGTTTAAAGAGAAAGGCGCAAAGAGTCTTTCTATATCACATCATTTAAAAAGATTCTGTAAATAAATTCTCTGAAACGTAAAATTTTATGTCAAAATCACAAATAGTTATTATAAAATTATACAAACTAAAATTTTTTATTTTAGTTATAACGTGTATGCGATAGGGATAATAGTTGTTTACTAAATAAAATTTTTGTTTTTATAAGCACATTAACCATAATTATTAAACTTTAATTATTTTCCAAAAGGTGCATCTGTATTTTTTTGATTTTGACTTAATTGACACCTAAGAAGAGATTTTTCTTTGTATTGTACGCATGGAACTTTCAAAATAGTATAATCACATCAATGTTTTTCGCCATTTATAGCCTTGTATCTGTTATATACTAGATATGTTTTGCCACATATCTGTGTTATATGTATTTATAGATGGTATAGGACAGATATCTAGGATGATTTATTTTTTTAATTATAAATTATATTATAACTATATATATAGTTATAATTTTTGAAACATTTTAAAAGAGCTTATTTCTAAACTGGAATATTTAAACCTCCACTCTACAGGTATGATTTAAAAGAAAATTTTCTTATTAACCCTATTTGACTTTATTTTATATAATTTAAAAATGATGAGCAAAACTTTCAGGGTGAAACAATTATGTTGCCCCTTGGAGTAATAATTTTTGTAAATACATGTTTGTATACAAATTTTGTACAAATACGAATGTTAATGTTTTATATTTACAATTTAAATAGGTTATCCCTATCATGGAACTTTTTCTAGTAAAAGAAGTGAGTCTAATAATTGGTAAATATATTACATACATATATAAATAAATAAATATACATATTTAACTAGCTTATAAAATATAAACTAATCTAATTAAGAAAATTACTAGATGCTAACAACATTTGGACCAGTACTTTGGAAGTTATTCTCAATATTATACAAGGGTGAGATGTAAAGTACAGCTGAAAAATGTCCAGTTAAAAAAAGCAGCACCCACTCCTCACCTTCAATCATTACTTTAAATTGTTAATAACTTCTGAAATACTAGTTCAAAATATGTATTTCTATATACATATGTTATTCAGTAAGTAAAGAAACGGGTTTCTATTGTTCTTATTTTTTGTAACAATTGACTGGTTTCCTTACTTATTAAACATTCTGTATATATATTTAAATCTGTTGATTCCTATGCATAGTTTTAAACCAATAGGTTAAAATATTTGAATAATATCAAGTTGAATACAAGATCATCAACAATTGAAAAAATTCTTCTAAATTTAAAAAATTATATGGGAGTAAAATAAGCAAACTTTTTGTAATAGGTATTTTTTTATGTAGATTTGGAATTGTACAACATATATGTTTATTATATTAACAATTAATTTTTTAGTGTTGTTGCTAAGTTTGGTACATAAAAGTTTAACATATAATGATACATTTATACATAAATAATAATAAAAAATAAGTACAGTAATAGGTGTTTAATATATTTGTATATTAATATATATTTTTTAATTAATAGAAAGTGAATTTAAGTTAATAATAAAATCAAATATGTATTTAAGTTTTGAATTTAACATAATGAATTATAAACTAATTTTAGGGTCAATCCGTGTCAAATCATCCAGAAGTAATTGCACGACCACATCATTTTTTTCTTAAATTTTCAAGGTTTATTCATTATGTTATATTTATATTAAAACAAATTTTTTTTTATGACTCCCTATTTTTATGGCTATTTCAATGCAAAAAATGTTAAAAATAATTAGAATGTTAAAAAAAATATAGATTATTCAATATTAATTCAATTGTATAATTGACCTTATTTTAACTTAAAGTTTACATTAAAAAAAAATGTATGTAAAATTCTAAACTTTAATGTTTTTCTAAAAATGGGGCTTTTCTGTGTAAATTGGAATTTTTGAGCTCAATTAAAGCATTAAAAAGTTATTATTTTATAGTGATTTTCAAATGTGGTATTGAATAGTGTATATCTATGTTTCAACTAAATTTCAAATATATAAAACAATTTTCTTGGTATTTAGAGGCCTACAAAGTTAGAAATTTTATAAAAATATACATATTCTATGTGCATTATTTCTATTAGGAAACTTAATTTCAAAAAACATTTTTATAAAATATATTTATGTACCCACCTCAGAAGTACAACAAAATAAAAAAAAAAACCTAATACGAGACTTAAATTATGTAAAACTATTCTCGGCACTACAGAAAAACACAGATTTGTACCAATTAATAACAGTACCTTCAGATGTCATTAACTGATATTTATGAAGACACAATATTCTAACTACTAGAATTAAGCTAATATTATTTATCAAAATATTTTACAATATTGTCATAATAATTTAATTAATTAATTTTTTTATTTTGCAACTAATATAATGAATTGAATAATTATAACATATATAATAATTATATTTAATCGTAATAAATTACATATAAAATTATATAAATAACAATAACAAAAATGTGGTTTGAAAACAACAAAAAACTATCATTAAATTATTTGATTTTGAGCAGCCTTCTACTGATTTTCAAAATATTACATGTTACACATTTATGGTGTATTAAACAGATAAATTAGGTCCACTAATAGAAATAATGCACCTAAAATATTTGTATTTTTATAAAATTTCTAATTTTGTAAGCTTTTAATTACCAAGAAAATTGTTTTAAATATTTTAAATTTAGTTAAAACATAGATTATACACTATACAATTCCACATTTTAAAATCACTATAAAATAATAATAACTTTTTAATGGTTTTAATTGAGATCAAAAACTAGAAGAAAAAAATAAGGTGGTCATGCAACCACTTCTGGATGATTTGGCATGTATTGACACTTTAACCTTTCATTCTATGCTATGTAGTTTAACTTAATACATTTTTAGCAGTACTAATCTTTTGGGCCCAATAAAGTTCTCTAATAAAACAATTAATTTTGATGAAGACGAGCCAAGAAAAGTTAGTCCAAAAATGACAGATAAATCAAGATTAGGCCAAAAATGCTGCAAATGTGGTGATTCTCAGTGTACACTAAGTTCAATTTAGCAAAATCATATTAAATTTAATTACTGAAATTTTTTTTTAAATTCTAAGGTTAAATACCTAAGGAAACATATATATTATAAATACATTATAGAATTATATATATTATGTATTATATTGTAATGTATATTTTTTAAATAAAAAAAAACAATACATATTCAGAGCAATCTATGGGGTTCTGACAAATTCATATGATTTTCTAATGGATATTTGCTAGAATTTTGTTGAATACTCTAAATATATTAATTTTACTTTAAATTAATGTTATTATTTCATGTTACTTCAGGAGAAATATACTTAATAAAAATTATTATCAATATAGTGATTGTAATCTGATACAATATCATAAATTATTACAAAATAATATATGATAATCTATTCAGAAACTTAATCCTACTATAATACAATTAATAATAAATCAACTAAAAAAGATGACATAAACAAATTATACACTTGAAATAATACCTTTACTACAATTATAATACTAATATTTTATATCTAGTTACATTTTTTTTTACAAATTCATTAAATGTAATTGATAACTGTTAAAAAATAATTTTATATTATAGCAATTACTCTGCTCCACCACTCTGAAAAAAAAATTAATTTAAATGAAAAAGGTAATGTATGAATTATTTTATTTAACCCATCAACGCCTGGCGTCCCCATATGGTGACATTCGTATTGCTTTTTTTATCGCGCGAATAATTTAATAGGTAAAAGCCGAGTGTACCCATATGGTGACACTCAATATCTCAGAAATCGTATTTTCAAAAAATTTAAAAATAATTTTTTTTATTTTTGTGTTGTATATTAATCTGTTTTTAGTAAAAAAAATTGAAAGTTTGAAAAAAAATAATTCTCAGCGTTGATGGGTTAAAATAATAAAAAGTTAGTTAAAATAATCAAATAAAATAATTCTATTAATAATACCTTAGCATAAAACTTGATATAATTAGTTATAACTATTTTTAACTGCATTGATTTAACATTACTAACTTGATACTACTACCCAACCTAACCCAACCCAACCCAACTTATTTCTATGAAGAATTAATGAAATTCACTAATTATTTTTATACAGAAATTTGGACACTAATACAGATTAAAATATGATAATATAAGATATAAATTAAAATATGCTTAAAAGTGTCAAATTTTCTGAAATATTTTGAAAAATAACAAAACAAAAAATGATAAAATAAATAAATAAATAAAAATATGCAGAAATTATTATAAATACCACACTTAAAAAAAATTAAGTGATTGGACATTCAAATATATATTTCTATTGAGAAGGAACTCATTTATACTGTTTAAATAATTTTTATTTTAAAACAATATCAAAATGTTATTCTTTAAAATATTGATTGGGGGTATAGTAACCCCTCTGATCAGTGGCCCAACTAAGGGATAAGAGATTTTAACGTCCTGAAATGAAGAGAGCTGTTTGAATTTGAATAATAATTTCTTTTGTAATACAACCAAAAATAAATTATCAAATGACTTTTTTACTCATTCAAATTGAAAGAAATAGTGATGTAGAGACAATTTTTTTATTTTGATATGTAAAAAAAAGTCATAAAATGTTATGAAATACTAATACCCTACCCATAAAAAAATTAATTTCTTTTGAATCGGTAATTATCATATAATCTAAGTTTTAGTACATTAAATATTGCAAAATTAGATTTTAAAGTTAATGATAATATAAATTTAACTATACAGAGTGATTTTTCTATCATAACCGACTCAATTACTTACAGAATAAATATATTTAAACATTTTTTTTTTTGTTATCTTTAGTTACACATTATTCTTGAATTATTAACTATGTAATACTTTTTAAGTTCATCCCTTATGCCTTGTAAGGGCGTCAACTATGTTTTTTTTAAATGGAAACACATATTTTTAATTTAATAAAATGTTTGAGTTTTTAATTCAATAGTAAATAACATTTGAATTTTTAATATAACTTTATTTGTTTATTAGATATAAACATTTAAAGTTTAAAATTTTTAAGTTAATATACATGTATAATACACAAGGGTTTATAAATACAGGTAGCTAATTGGATTTTTATGACATCGCTGTCACAGTCAAGAATTGTTTATTATCAATTATAACTATCAATAGATATACTTTTTATATAGTCAGTTAGTGTATTTATGAACTCACAACAATGTGTCTTACTACCATTGATAATACCAATGCTGTGTACCTGCGTATATTGATGTCATAAAAAACCAATTAGCTACCTGTATTTGTAATCCTTTGTGTATTATACATGTATATTAACTCAAAATTTGGAAACTTTAAATGTTTATATCTAATAAACAAATAAAGTTATATTAAAAATTCAAATGCCATTTACTATTAACCCTTTAGCAGGCGCGTGCCTATTTTTAATGTTTATAGTCGCGTGGGGGTCTATCAGACCCCATTTTAAAAAAAGTTCATTTTTTTAAATTCAAAGACATTATTTGTTACCATATGATATATAAATATGGATGAAAATTAAAAAATAAATAAATTACAAAATTATGTGCCATAATAATTCCAATTCCATAATATTATATCAATTATAACATATTATAACGATAAAACTATATTTTTTATTTTATTTGATTAAAAATCACCCAGTACAATATTTGTGAAAGATAAAGTAAGCCTTTATGTTAATAGCAAATAGAGTTATTATAATTGTCATTCTAAAACTTAGATGTTAAAAAATATGATACACGTTTCATTCAAAATCAAATTAGGCTAATTTTGTTATTATAAGCTAATTATTAAATCAAAAAATAAAAATAATATCAAGAATTATTTTTTATGTGTATCTATAATGTCTTGTAAGGTTAGCAACTTTATTTTTAAAAGAGAACATAATTATTTAGCTTTTGTATTAGATCATCTATATTTCATCTAATTAAGAACTAACTTATTGATAAATAATTTTAGACCATATTTCAGAAGTTAATAATGATTACTTAAATCATTATCAACTTCTGAAATTCTTGGTTTCAACCGAAGGTCAAACCAAGAATTTTTTTTATCACTAGTAATTTCTTGACCTACCTCCTCCTACCAACGTTTAAAATTTAATGATGTGGTTTTTTAAATATTAAACAAAATATTGTGGTCTTTATTGATTTAAGAATACTTAACTATAAGTTATATATAGCTCTAATTATAATTACACAATATTATAAATTCAATTTTTTAACTTAGAATATACATACATTAATAGCATTAATTTCAGCTTCATCTAAAGGTCCCCGTTTAAATCTTAACGGTAATTCATTATGTTCTAATGAGAAAACAGAACCTACAGGAGCAACTGCATCTTGAGGTAGTATGTGATCTAAACATAGATATAAAAATAATGTATTAGATATTATAAGTATTTTACTAAAATTCAGTTTTATGAGCGTTTTTAAATACTCATAACAAAAAAAAAAAAAGAAGCATTGAATTACATAACTGTTACTATGATTTTGATTTTTTAGAGTTAAACCATTGGTTTTTTCAATTAATTTAATTTCAATGACTGAGGTTTTAAATAATCAAACTCGACTTATAAAATCCATCATATTATAAAAGTATGAGAACTAAATGAATTTTATTTTTGGTGACCTATAATTATTTAGATATTAAATTATTAAAATAAAGTAATGTAAAAGAAATAAAATATACATACTGTTTCCAGTTACGCCATAACGGAATCTAATTAAAGGTTTATGGGGTTTTACAGTCTATAAGAAAAAAATATAATAAATAAATAAATCTCACGTCAATTTCATTTTAAGATTGTTACTTTTAGTAACACTTTTGCCAATAAAAACTACCTGATAAAATCGAATAGCAACTTTCGTATTCATAGTTATTATGTTTCGATTTTCAAATAAAGACAAGTAATGAAGATGTTTATTATTCTTTGAAACGTTTTTAATTTAATTTCAAATATTATGAAACACAATCAATACTTAATGAGTTAGTTTCAAATTTCAAGGTTAAAATAAAATATAAAATTTTCATAATAAATGTTATCTTATCTTGTTATTATTATTGTAGTGTTATCACAGTATTAATGATTTTACATAGAATGTACTCATTATTTTTATCAGATTTTGTAATTTCTATCACACCAGTCCACGTTGTACAAATAAAAACCTAGTTTTAACACGTTTATCACGTAAAATGACAGACAAGATAAAAGACTAAATTAAACTTACTTGCTTACTTTACTTATTTTATCTTAGTAAAATGTTTTAAGTCGTAAAAATGTGTTTATTAGCTGATATTAGAGAAAAGTCATGTTTTTTTTATGAACAATAAATTAGTTATGAATTTATAGCCTCTTGTCTTACATTTCTAAAAAATGTTTAATTTTTTTGCATTTCATTATTGTCAAAATATTTGTAAACAATATTGATGTCATTTTTTATCCATCATTATAATTTATCGACTACTTAGAGGTAACTACTTTTTTCCAATGTAAATTTATTGATTATTATTCAAAATATCATTCTAAAAAAAAAAGGAATTATGAAAAATAATTGATTTTACTACTTAATTCATTTTAATGGTTGAAAAAGAAGAAATACCACTAGACTATACTGGAGTTGTTCAAGAAGAAACAGCGCAGATGAATCAAAATAGAAATTCTTTTATAAAAGGTGTTACCTTATTTATTTTAACTTTTCAAAATGCTCTACTTGCCCTTAGTATGCGATATGCACGGACAAGACCTGGTGATATGTTCTTTTCATCAACAGCTGTTGTTATGGCAGAAATTGTTAAACTCTTTGTTTGCTTCGGATTAGTTTATAAGACTGAGTCATTGTCTTGGAAACATTTTATATCACAAATTGATAAGACCATTGTAAAACAACCAATGGATACTCTTAAAGTCTGCATTCCGTCTTTAGTTTACTTAATTCAGAACAATTTATTATATGTGTCAACATCAAATTTAGATGCTGCAACATACCAAGTCACTTACCAATTAAAAATATTTACTACTGCTGTATTTTCTGTTTTAATTCTTAAACGCAAACTACTTAAACATCAATGGGTTGCATTATTTGTTTTAATTGTTGGTGTGGTTCTTGTACAGTTAAATAATTCAACTGATAAATCTACAGCAACAAGACCTAATCAAAACAGATTAATAGGTATTGGTGCAGCCTTTATTGCATGTTGGTTATCTGGCTTTGCAGGGGTATTTTTTGAAAAAATATTGAAAGGAGCTGATATATCAATATGGATGCGTAATATTCAATTAAGTGTTGTTTCGATACCTCTAGGATTTATTGTTTGTATTGTAACAGACTGGACCAACATAAGGAACCATGGATTTTTTTTTGGTTACGATTGGTATGTTGTATACTTGATTTGTTTACAAGCAGCTGGTGGACTTATTGTTGCTATGGTCGTAAAATATGCAGACAATATATTAAAAGGATTTGCTACTTCACTTGCAATTATTATTGCTTGCGTTTTTTCAATGTATTTCTTTGACTTTAAAATAAGTATACAATTTGTTGTAGGAGGATTGTTAGTTATGTCATCAATATTTTTATACAGCTACACTAAAGAAAAAAAACCACCAAATACAAATACTATATTAAAAATATAAAATCAACATTAATTTTAAATACTACTTATTCAAATCATTTTTTACTACTTAAAACATATTACTATAAAAATATTTTCTTTACATTTATTTTATTGTTATATAAATTTTAATTGTTTATAAATTAAAAAGCATGTATCATTATAATATTTAAATTGGTCATTATGTAAATATTTATTATTTGACTGATATATTATGTCTTATAAAATAAACTAATAAATAAAAAAGTTGTGTACAGGTATGTAGCTAGTTGTTTTATTTCATTTTAAAAATAATAGCATTTACTTGACGGAGAAAATGAAAAAAAAATAACATTGCTACTACATTTATATTTATAGAATTTATGAAAGAAAACACAATATTATTTTTTTAGCAATTACATTTTTATATAATTTATTATAAACGTAAATATTAACTTAACTTGTAATCATACTTAAAATATAAATTTTAAATTAGAAGTATTCATTTACTATAAATAAAATTATATATATATATATATATACATATAAACACAACATTTTTAAATACATATGTTTGTTTTTTTAAGTAGTGAATTATTTATCTATTATTTATACTAATAACTTAATGTCAAAGTTAAAGCTTATACAAAGTTTTAAATAATTTTTTTTTTTTGGATTGTAGGCATAGATAATTTTTTGATAGGAGATTCAATAGATTTTGATTACCTTTACCCCATTAATTTCATAATATTTGTTTAATAATGAAAATTGTTCAAAATATTGAATAATTGTACGTTAAATTTCCAAACTCTTTATTACTTACTTTTTTGGTTCTTTCAACTTATATGCCCGACTTCTTAATATTTTAAATGAGAATCAATACAGTTGTAAATTTATGATGGGGTGGTAACTTGTAATCTATTTAAAATATTTATCATAAAGCTTGCTATTCTTAATTTAGTTTGTTTACTATTACTTTAGATGGAAGTTTTTAAATCATTGGGTTTGGTGTGAAGTATAACATATTCTACTCTTCCAGGAAAAATATTGTTAACAATATGTTCTATGATTTATTTTTATTACAAATAGATCAAAATAGTCTACTTAGAAACTACACAAGTCACTAATGTAATTTTATTATCGCATCATAGGTGCAATTTTAACAAAATTGAGGCGGCGCTTATTATATCTAACTTCTCTCTCTTTAAATATATTTTTATATAACTATATAGGGTTCAGTAAGTAAGGAAACAGATTTCTATTGTTCTCATTGTTTGTAACTGCTGACCTGTTTCCTTACTTACTGAAAACTCTATATAAAGTTTTTCTGAAATTTTAGATAAGTTAATTTTAAAATTGGAAGGCTAAGCTTCTTTCGATGTGTAACTAATGTAATATAAAATGCAATAACCTGAAAATCATAATTTTTGAACTTACGTTCTAGTTCTGAGGTACGTAATTGCCACACCTTGATATGAGATATGCGTCTATTATAGGACATTTCTTATTTAAAATTAGTACACTGTTTAATGATAATAATTATTAAGTTTTCTATTGAAAAATTATGATAAGGATTGGAAACAGTTTTTTACTACTAGTAATTAATATATAAATCTTAAAAATATTTATGTAATTATTTTTTTATCTAATCTATGCTACTTCAGAAACAACTTTTTATTTTTTATATTCAAAATTTGAATTTTCAGACAGCGCAAGTGTGAAAAAAATTCGTCCCCAAGGTAGTCAATTTATGTTATTTTAATATTTTAACACAATTCGTTATTTAAAACTAAAATATTATTATTATAATGAACACTTAATATTTCCTAATAGCAGACACGATATATTTATAATATTGGACATAATTATACTGTTAAATAAAGAAATATTGAATTTTAGTTTACATGCAATGCTGAGGAGGTAATAATTTTACTATGTGTTTTTTTTATGTATGTCGCCACTTTTTCTGAGCTCTCACCGAACCGATTTCTTTCAACCATACGTCAAAATATCAAAAAAAATCATATCTTGTTGAAGACATTACTCTTAAAAATTGAAAAAATTTCCCTCGTTCTTTGTATATAGAGAAGATCCCCAAAAATATTACAATTTATAAAATTGATAATAGTTGAAATTTTTTTTTTAAAACTGCCATAATTTTTTTAAAAATAAACGTACCAAAATATTTTTTTTTCAACTAGAAACCTTAGGTATTTTCCTTTTATTTTTTATAATTTTTTTGAAATTCTGACATGTTACCTACCCACAGGGGGGATTCAAAATAGAGAATTTTTTACAAAAGTCAACAAAATTTTAGACGTAAATTTTAATACATCAGATAATAATTTCTCTTTTCCAATAGATACAAGAAAACTTTCATCTAGAAGGTGATTTTTTTAACACTAGTCACTCAATTTTTTTTAAAATAATAACTTTTTTGTGATTTTATTTTTAGCTTCGATGCGAAGCCGAGAAGGTATTGGTTTTACTATGATGTGTTTTTTTTTTGTGTCTGTTACCACTTTTTCTCAGCTCTCACCGAACCGATTTCTTTCAACGATACGTCAAAAGATTACAAATCGTATCTAGTCGAAGACATTACCTTCAAAAATTTTAAAAATTTCCTTTGTTTCCAGTAAATGGGGGAAATCTCCAAAAAAATTACAAATTTAAAAATCGCTTATGGAATATTTTTTCAGTTACAGCAACACGCTTAGTGGCGTTACTTAAATGAGAATTTTTTATTTTCATTTCCAAGGCCTCGCATGAACTGTGGTGGTCCAAACTTTAAACCATTCTGGTTTTTATAATAATTTAAAAAAGATGATTTGCCAATTCTGATACCAGGGTGCTTATTTTGAAACATATTGCACATTTTTTGAATATTTAACCTTTTATCCAAATACTTTATAAACGTACCAAGGTAATGACTTTCGTAAGTCAGAAAATCTTTGATATGTTATCTTACTAATAGTAGTGTTTCGGGTGGAATAGTATATTTGATAGCTCCATGACTTTCCTTTGGAGACTTGACTATAATCAATAGTTGTTGAAGTCTTCTCATTTTTTTTTTTAGTTTTACAGTGTATAGAACAAAATACTTTTTAACTTACCTCTGTTCTAGTTTCATCCACCATTGCATAATATTTATACAAAGACTGGATTGTTCTGTTGTTTTCTTCAATCCTTTTTCTATGCGCGAGTTACTCTACGAGTTTCTATTAGGCCCTGAATAAAAGTATCTTGTAGATCCTTGGTTTCAAAATTCCAAATACTATTGAAAATCAACTCTGTCTCAGCTGAAGATATACGCTGTAGGAACTTCTTTTTGTATCTAAAAGAGAAAACGGCTTAGAGTATTTTTATAATGATTTTGATTTCTATCAAGTAGACATGCACACAAACTGTTATAATTATTTCACAAAGTGAATATTTTTTTCATCTTATAGTAAATTTTATAAACTTTAATTTGGTATATGGTTTAGTTCATGCAGTCATTCCAAAACATTGTTAAAAATGAAATTTTTCCACTTTTTTTTTTTCATTTATATTATGCAATAATTATTAAAATAATTTATTTAAATTATAAATTATTTAAAAATACATCTACAATGCACTTTTGTAAAATGTTAGGATAGTACCCAAATTTTGACACTTTAAAAATTTGAAATGGTCCAATTTTAACGAATTTTTTTTTGAAAATTATCCTGACATAGGACCATGTAAAAATTTACTCAGATTAAAAAAATTAAGTTTTCCAGCTCCATAGTGGTTTGAATTAGAAAATTTGAATATTATCTAAATGTTCCAAAATTCCACGTACCTATTCTCACATTGTATCTATCTCTACCTTAAACATGAGTCCAATCTAGAGTTTAGTGATGTAGTCCTTACATTGCTGGGACTACGAACTTTGGGTAAGCCTGTACACAGGACTGGTGAAATAGCTACCGTACAAGTTGTCTGGCTGGGATCAAAATCCTTATTTTTTATGCCTTCTCCGACTCTAAGGATGTCTCGTACTTTTTTTACAAAATTTTACACCGGCTATCGACCTGACGCAACCTCATTAGTCGCCTATTACGACTTACAGAGGGGCCGTGGAAGTATTCTCATCCACTTCCACTGAAAAAGAGAATTATAATAGTACAATATATCACATCATTAAATCTCGATAACGGTATCGAATCTTTGTCTTCATATCCAACTATTAATATCTTTCCTCTGCATAAGTATTCCTGCAACAATTGTTATACAGATAATATTATATTGCCTATTCAAAACGCCGTTGTTATAATTTGTATAAAGAAAAGTCCTTCAAAAATTTATGAAAAATATATTCATTGTAGTTTAAAAATATTTTTGTAATATATATTTTCTTGATATGATAAATATTATTTTTTTTCATGTTGAAAGTATTTTTACAAAAATTTTTCTTACAATTTTGTTTTGGTAGGGACTAATTCTTCAATTGGGAAGCTAATCCCCATGCTCCCTTAGTTTTACCAGAGTATAGAAGATGATATTTTTGGGGACCGCTTTTTGTCTGGCTCGTAAAGTTTCCAAAAAAAAAATTGCCTTGAACCCTCGAAAGTTTAAAATACGATCCTGGAAAGGATATAGTAACTTTATCCGTTTTAATAATTTATTTATTAAACTTAAATATTCTAGAGCTATGTTTCATTAGTGCTTTTGGAAAAGTTTTTTAAAACAACTGAACTAGTCAATTTTTGATTTTTTTTTTTAATTAGACAATGCACAGGTACCATAAGTTCTAACTACTTACTGTTTAAAAGATTAAAAAACTTTTTTTTTTAAATTATTTTTATGACTTTTTTTTTTTTGAGCATCGTTTTAATAACAAATGATAAAATCAAAATTTTTCTTTTTTAATTTGTCGTTTACTTCAAATATCTATAAGAATTTGAAAAAATTAAGTCAAACAAAGTTTTTATGAACGAAAAAGTAAAGGTAATTAAGTAAATTTACCTTGTTATTGGAAGTGGTTTACAAAGATTTTTTATTGAATTTAAAATAGTTAAAATGTAATTTTTTTAAGTGAACTTATGTAGTTGTTGCTGTCAGTTCTTTAATTAAAAATTATTCTTTTGCTAATTTACTACCCTACTAAGTAACGCGACTTTGTCATCATGTGGTTTACATAAAAAATGATATTAAAGTATATCTTAGAACTAGAATTTTTCAAACCAAATTATTATTTGATGAATACTTCTATGACAAGGCTTAGGCTTTAACAATCTGTTCATGTTTATTCCGTCTGACCTTAGTTAAAGTTATGCAGGTTAGTGCTGAAGTTTAACTTGTTGTTTTTTTCGTATTTTTCATACGTATGTATGCATTTTTGTACACACAATTTCTGATGAGGCGGTATGAATAGAACACGCATAATAAAACTAACTCAGTCGATGGAAGTTACGGTGGAAGGGGTCAAAAAGAAGGTTTTACGGTTATGGGAAGACACCTGTTCGTAATCCTACTTGATGCCTACGATTTAGTCTTCGACGAAAGCCGCGTAGTACATATCGTTCCTTTTGCTACACGTACTAGTACGCATAAAATATGTCGGACGTTAAATAATTTTAATTTACATACTAACGTTTTTACCAGCGTATTCGTTTTTTTATTATTTTGCTCTCGGTACAGTTACGTTTGGTTATATCATTCGTACGATTAGGGAAATTTAAGGCATTTAAGGATTATTACTTGCAGACGAAGACGATATCCAAATTGTAAGTTTATTAAAAAAAAATTTAATTAAAGTCAACAAGGAATTACAAAAAAATATGTTTTGCTTTCACAAAATATAATATCACGAAATCTGCTTCACTTTTCATTATAAAAATTTACTTGTTCTTTACTTTATAATAGATCACGAGATTGACAAAAAAAAATTAATTTTAAACTGATATATCGAATTTTTAACTTTTAAAAAGTCGTAAGCATTTGACATTTATATATACAATATGCATAATGCCCAATATTTAAATACATAACACGAATATAAATGGATTTATGAATAGATATATACATTTTATTGTGCACGCTCAGTAAAATTATGGTAAATAAACATAACTAGTAAATTTTAACGTCTTACAGCAGATTTAAGAAACAAAAATGTGTCATTTAATAAGTAAAGAAGCTTAAGGGGTTTGTCATCGTTTTTTTCCAAGGATATTTTACAAAACGATTTACATAATTTTTTAGTCATATATATTTGTGGGAATGTTTTTGCTTTCTTTGAAATACGATTTTGAAATGCTATTATGTTTTGCTTCCACAAACTAAACGTGTAATTTTAAAATCGCATAAATTATAGTGCATTATAAATTGTGAATAATATTTCACCAATAAAACGTATCTTCACACACGAATAAAATACATAACTCGACGTGACTCGACTCGCCCATCTAATATGTAAGCGAATATAATCGTTTTTCAAACTCCGTGGTGTACGCATACTACACAGATTTTCTCTAAGGAATAATATCGTTGAGATACTATTAATGATTAATTATCCTAAATTAAATGAATTTAGTTAAAAACAAAAAAACTCACGTCGATTATTACATAGAATGCAAGATTATTTTTCTAATAAATATATATTGAAAAAAATTATATTGTATGGTTTAGCGTGTGGTCAAAAATTAATCTAGGGAGTCTATAAATATATATTTTTATATTATCATATTGTTCTTGCCTGTGTAATTATTATGTGCCTGTTTTACACTTATCAAAAGTAAAATCCATTATTGCTCATTTTTTAAAAAGCTTTTTAGTTACATGTTCTTGTCCAGTTTTATTTATGAAATTCAATGGATAAAAAGTAAGAAGTGTTTATAATATGACGATTTTTTAAAATTTTTATTCGCAGTAATTAGCATTATTCTATTTGAGGATTGATTCTATAATCAATTACAATAGTACTGTTTGTTTTTTAAATCTATGTTTAGATGGACTTTTTTATGTTTGATATTATCATGTTTCTAGATCGAATACTAAATGAGTATTGTTAGATCTATTCAACGCATGAATGAAGTTTATTGAAAAAGACCCACACGTATTGTTTTGTCGTGTAGTGGCTGCGTTGTAAATACAACCACGACCGTGGTAGGCGCCCTGGGGAAATTGAACTATAACGGAATTATTATTCTGTAACACGAGCCACCTAGTATTCATACATATTGGATTTCTTATAGACCTAATCTATTAATAACATAATTAGTTCCTGGTTTGATTTTAACGGGATTTTCGGAGAGCCACTTTTGGCTAGATATTATAGATTGTCTATACTATTTTATATTAAATAATTTAAATAATAACTAGATATTAACGATGGTTTTACTAAGAATTATGGTACTTAAATAGCAATGAAATTCAGTAAGCTTAAGTCAAAATTATAATTATAAAAGTCATATATAAATTCATAATTATTCTAAGATTATGGAAGGGTAAAAATTATATTATTCACTTAATGATAATGTTTTCTAATGCATATTGAAAAATTTCGATATCTTAATTATTTTACTTGTTTTGATAACACTTTTTCTACATTTTATGGCCATTGTTTTAATTGTAATAAAGTAGAATTTAATTAAGCATTTTGTATTGAAAAATTTTAATGGAAATTGTAAACTTCTTTAAACAGACAAAATCATTATTGTAGTTGGTAGTGCAATATTGTATAACGTAAAAGAGACGCATTTATGAGAAAAACAAAATCAAGGTGAACAGGTATTTGATTTATTCTTAACAATTTATAATTAATTAAAATTAAAATATTAAAGGGTAAAAAACGTTCATTGTTTTGAATACATCAACATATATTTTTTTTTAATTTTTAAACTGTTGCTAAAAATACTAATAAAAATATACATAGTATGTATACTAAATTCATAAACCGGACTCGATTAGTTATGATAGACACAGTAATTTATTACTTGATAATTGTTAGCTCTTGATAGTTATGATGCTGGTATGCTTAATTTCTGGAAAATATAAATTTTTAATTTGATACTTTACGGGTTACGTAGATTATGACAAATCAGTTTTAGGATTAAATTCTCATGCTGTGTTTTTAAATTTTAGACATGGTTCATTTTCATAGATTAACTGTAACAACCTGGCTTCTTATAAGTTACTCATTAATTTTCATGAAGACCAACTTGATAATCTCCTTCAGTATTCTTTTACATTGGTTAAATAAAATAAAGCATACTTTGCCAAACCCAGCTAGTTTTTATATAAATGCGTTTAATTAATGTATTTATAAGTTCTTATTTTTAAAATGTAAAACGGTAAAATGAAAACAGTTTCGGTTTTTGTGGTTCATACTGAGGTTAGAGCTTTTTATGGCTGCTATGGTATACTAGGTGTGCGTAGATGACCTCTTGTTTGGAACATTGTCAAATGAAAAAAAAGTTTGAAATGTCTATGATGTACAAAAATTTTGTATAATCGTCTTCCGAGAGCCACGTGTTGTCCTTGACTAGTAATTAAAAAAACAATTATAATCTCTATAGTCACTGCAGCATCTGTAATTACCAAGTGTTGTTTTTGAAATGGCATATCAAATTTTGTTCAAGTTCAATTTTCTGTTGTTGAAATCTAGGGGCTAGAACCATTAATCAAAATTGCATAGACTTTGGGGACTTAACATCAATCAAAAGAAACGAAACACTGTTTCCTAGAGTCCTTGTCTAGTATGTTTTTTTCTTCATCTCTGCTTGACTTTAGCGTGTACAATCCGAGTACTCTCGTTCACTAATTGCCGGCTACAACTAGTATAATGTACAATTGTTGTTTTCGGACCAACGCCAAAATATAACGTTCAAGGTCAACGGTTTTTTTTACTAACGACGCTTAAGGTGACCTGAGTGTTTTTTCTACGCTTTACTGCTAACGAACCGAGCCCATTTGCCACAGGCGTTTCAGCGGAAATGCCAGGCATCATGGTTGCGCATTATTACTTTGAAGTACCATTGCTGCTTGTCTTCGAATGTAACGTCATGTAGATGGATCTATGAGGTTACATATTAATTTATAAGCATGTTAGATTTACTTTATTCTAAGTCAATGCTGACTGTTTCTATTAGTTGTCGACATTGTGCCAAGAGATCGAGTAATACTTTTTTTCATTTTGATTGGCGTGAAATGGATGTTCTTTATGTTGTTAATAATAATGTATAAACCGTAAAAGCTTGCATCTTATCTTTAGAAGGATGGTCGTTCGGTAATGATCATTCGTCAAAAATAGACTAGTCTATGATAAAAAAACTCATAATTAAATTGGATGAATATCTAAAAACATAATTGAATATTTTATTTGAAATGTGAATAAATTATTGATAATTGATCCAACGACAAAATAATTTTTCGATGATGTACATAACAAAATGATGGATTATTCCTCATAGGTTTCCAAAAACTTTATTATAATTAAGAAATGATACTTGGCGTTATACTCAATTTAAATTTAAATAATACATCGGAGTAGTTGATGCTTCATTTTAATGATAAACAGAAATTACTCGTCTTTAGTAATATGTATTTTCGATAATGCTATATTTATTAACCTCTTTTGTTGAGAAAATTTTGTATTTTTAATAGATTTGCATGTTTATTATTTTTTTAAATATTTTTTATAATATTACTTTTGATGAAATTAAAAACTCAAGTATAAATTCGTGATTTTAAAACGCGAGCATTTCTACCTCAAGTATAATTTTCATGCAAGAACCTTGAAATAATCGTCGTGTTAACAGGAAAACTGGTCTTACGGTACATCTCATAATTATCGAAAAATATAACATTAAAGATTTAGTGGATGCCTAACTTTGAAAAATTATTGATTATTAAATTTTAATAAAAACATATTTAATAACCAAAGCGAATTTTAGATAAATGATTTATATAGAATTTTAAAAACCTAACACGAAGGCATGACAAAAAAAAACTAAATAATCTTAAAATTATCACAATTATTCACGTTGAGTATAAATTATTAAGCCATTCTGAATTTCAGATGATATTTGTTTATTGCGTAATATATTGTGTATGCTACTCAAATGTTTTTGACGTTTTCAGCGATAATATTTTTATTATTTTATACTATCAAGTAATAATTTACAGGTAGTATTGTTAACAATAAGAATAAATAAAATTTTTGTTAAGTTTTAGCGATCATTTTATCTGCAAGCATAACTTTCTACATTTAAAATGTTTATAGTTAGCATTTACTGTTTAGTTGGTTTGTTCAAAATGATGACGATGGTTAAAAAATGATAACGATGATAAGGACGATGTGGTTGTAATCGGGATTAGGGCATTACATGATCGCTACTCTGGTGAAAGTGTGATTTACATTAAATTATAATGATTATTTAAAGAAAAAATCTTGTTTAATTTTGAACTCTTCGTAATGAAGTACAATTATTTAACAACAATTAATAAACAAGTCTAAGGTAACAAAAACATATCACATCACAAAGCAATAAAATTACTTTAAATGTGTAATCCAAATGTATGTGAACTACAAGCCAATGAGGAACATTCAGCCAGTAGCTTTCCCTGATATTTAAACCTTCTGTATTTCATCGACATCACTGTTTCCTACTTGAGTAAAACAAAAAGTGTTAACATTCTTATTGTTTACAACTTAATGAAATACGCACGTGGGATTCTGAAAATGTTATGTGAAACTTTTCAAATAATGTAATCATATAAATTAGGG